GCACCTGCACCTGCTATTGGCTGATCAGTAGAGGTAGGTAGCCCCAAGACCCTTTGGTTCAAAGATGTCAGCTAAGAACAAAGTGTAATATTTGGATAAGGCTGGAGCCATGGATGTCTACTCATCTGCTAATGTGTATGATGTAAAATGTGATGATGTGGCATACTGAAGATGTATAAAATGCCTCTTCAACTGTTTATCAGGGCCACTTCCTAAGAAATGAACCTGCAGCTGCCTTCTGTAAGTCTCAGTAACTTCTGTGATCTAAGAAAGATTACAATTTCTATCAAAATCTGTTGTGATGTCTCATGGTTATTTAAAACATTTAAGTTATGAAGTGTTATTTGAAGAGAGTGTCACAAGTGATATCTTAATGATAAAGAACCAGAGAGAGAAAGCTTTAAGGTGTAAACACAGAGAGTATCTTTAAAATCTCTTTCCAAGCATCATGATCCTGTTATACATTGTACATTGTTCAAGAGATAAAGTACAATGAGCAGCCTTCTGTCTTCTATGTTTTTTATAGAATAACAGGACTGGGAGGAGACTATGGGTTATTAGACAAATACCTATGTTCTGGGGGGGGGGGGGTGTAAAGAATTATGCTCTTTCAAAAAAAAAGTTATTTTCCACAACAAATGATTACCTCCGTTTCAAGTAGTGGAGATTTTGGATGTACTGAATGGTGTAGAACCTACCAAAATTCTCTAGTTTTTCGTATAACTATAAACATGTATAATATTAATTACCTTATTGTCCAAAGTGAAAAGGAAAGAGTCATTCTCTCTTTTGTCAGCCTCAGTGTTACTGATGATCTCCCCAATGTACCTGAATTAAGAAGAAAAAATGCTTAGTGTCCGGCTTAACAGTAATATGAGGATTAGAAGAATACAGTCTAGATTTTTCAGCAAATTCTCACTCGCAAATGAATTTTCCTTGAGGGATATCTTGCAGTGCCCTCACTCCCCAGCCCATCTTCTCCGTCTTGTAGAGCTGTAGGTGGACCCTGTAACAACATAAACACAAGCCGCTAGAAATATTCAGTAAGTAATTTGTTAAGAGTTTGAGCTCCCCTGCCACCATATGTCAAGGTTGCAGCAGAAGAGCAGTTGACATAAAGGCTTAGTTTTCTAAAACCCCTGGAGATCAATTTACAACCGAGAATGCAGAAAAAATTAGGAAAGGGATGGACGAGTTTAGGCATTCTTTCAATCAGACTTATCAATAGGGATCTCAATCCCAAGCATCATAAAGAACATGAATCAAGCAGTAGGTGCAGCCTACATTTGTTATGCTTTCACTTTGACATTACGTTTCATGTGCTTCAGCTCTGATGCCTACATTGAAATTAGGCTGTTTCTGGCCAGGGACTTGTTCATCTCTTCTGAATAAGTGATTTTAAATATTCCCTTTCTTACATTTTACATAAATAAACCTCTCGGTACATGTATTGTGCTATTTGTTTATTGTTATTATTTCCTTTACATCATACAAAATTCGTAAAGAGATAAAGCATTAATTTTCTCTATTGGATCTTTCATGAACCATCTCCAGCAGCACCTGCACCTGCTATTGGCTGATCAGTAGAGGTAGGTCGTATCAGCTGTAACAGTGTGACATCCATCATTCTGAATTTCAGAAAAATGTCAGATAATCATAAGAGATTGATTTCTGGCTGCAAGACCATAAATTCTTCTATTCTGGAACCCAGATTTGGAGTCAAAAACAAAAATGTTCCTTGTACATCAACATTTCAACATACAATCAGTATAAATGGCAGAGGGGACATCGTCTTTGAAGACACGCTCACATGCCTCATGCTCTTCAGTACAATCGTCAGCCTCATCTACTGGGTCGGCTGCAGCAAAGGCCAGAGCAAAAGCTGAAGCCGCAAAGGCACGCCTCGTCTTTGTTGAAAAGGAGGTGGCTCTGAAGCTAGAGAAAGCTAAATTGGAGGCATCTATAACAAAACTTAATTATGAGAAAGAGACAGCTGCAGCTATTGCTGAGGCAGAAGCCCTTGAAGCTGCTGTTGATTTGAATTCTGACAAACAGAGCTCCAAATTAAGCATGGATTTTGCTCCATTGGACACCCCAGCGCGTACTGAGCAATATGTTCTCAACCAAAATCAGATTCAGGAGACTCACAGACAGTCATGTGCTGGTAGTGATCCAGCCGCAGAGTCAAAGCCTGACTTCAATATCTCATCTTCCCAGCTTAAGGCAGATGCAACATCCTTTCTTCCAACTGCATTTCAATGTCCGCAGGTTGCTCCACGGAACCCGTCAGTCAGTAAAAGTGACGGACCTGGAGATGTTATGTTGGGGCATGATAGTGGTCTTAATACCCAATATTACAGAGCTCCAAACATTAATCCTTTTTATCCACATCCTGCATATACAAATAACAGAAGCTCAAACATGAATGACTTTGTTCGATATTTAGCTCGTCGTGAGCTTGTGGCAACAGGTTTGTTGCAATTTAATGACAAACCACAGAACTACAGAGCCTGGAAACGCTCTTTTAAGTCAGCAACATTGGCTTTGGACCTGTCACCAAGCGAAGAAATGGATCTCCTGTTGAAGTGGCTTGGGAGAGAATCAGTACAGCATGTGGAACAGATTAGAGCAATACATATAAACCATCCACAAGCAGGGCTAAATATGATATGGAAGAGACTTGATGAAAAGTATGGATCAGCAGAAGCTATTGAAGATGCTCTGTTCAAACACATTGAAGACTTCCCAAAAATAACTAACAGAGATTACTCCAAGTTGACAAAGTTAGGTGATCTTTTAATGGAGCTCCTGTCAGCTAAATCTAAGGGAGATTTACCTGGACTGTCTTTCCTTGACACAGCCAGGGGCGTGAACCCAATAGTGCTAAAGCTACCTTATCGTCTACAGGAGAGATGGGCGACGGTTGGAGCATCCTACAAACAACAAAAATGTGTTCAATATCCTCCCTTCTCTTACTTCGTGGACTTTGTGTGTCAGGAAGCAAGGATTGCCAGTGATCCAAGTTTCAACTTCGTTTCTCACACAGACACAGCTCAGATAAATAGAGCACCTCCAAAATCAAACAAGTTTAAGGAGGTCTATGTTCACAAGACTGAAATCTCTCCTCAAGGTTACAGAGATGCTGACACAACATTAAAACCTAATGAATGTGACAAAATGTGCCCCATACACAGAAAACCTCACCCTCTTTATAAATGTCGCGCATTTAAGGAGAAATCCATTAACGACCGTATGGCACTGCTAAGGGAGAACAACATTTGTTTTAGGTGTTGTTTGTCATCCACACATATTGCAAGGAATTGCAGAGTCAAACTGCTCTGTGCAGAGTGCAAAAGCGAGGAGCATCACACAGCACTTCATCCAGATCCCAGAAGTTATGTTGACCCCCAACCACAGCATGGCGGGGAGGATGAAATAACCACAAGTCAGCCTCAAGTAAATTCGAAGTGTACAGAAATCTGTGGCGGAGAACAGACAAATCGATCCTGCTCAAAAATATGCCTTGTAAAAGTGTATCCAGCTGGCTGCAGAGACAAGGCTGTGAAACTGTATGCGATTCTGGATGAACAGAGCAACAGGTCACTTGTGCGATCTCAGTTTTTTGATGTGTTCAATGACCGAAGTCCAAGTGCTCCCTATACACTGAGAACATGTGCTGGAGTTAGGGAAGCAGCTGGAAGAAGAGCTAGTGGATATGAAATAGAATCTTTAGATGGAAATGTCCGGATCCTATTGCCAAGTCTTATAGAATGTAATGACATTCCTAACAACAGAGACGAAATCCCAACCCCAGAGGTGGCCCGTCACCATCAGCACTTGAAATCATTGGCTCATCTGATCCC